CAATCTTGGCTCACTGCAACCTCTGCCTCCCAGTTCAAGCAATTCTCCTGCATCAGCCTCCTGAGTAGCTGGGATTACAGGTACCTGCCACCATGCCCGGCTAGTTTTTGATTTTTAGTACAGACAGGGTTTCACCATGTTGGCCAGGCTGGTCTTGAACTCCTGACCTCAGGGGATCCACTCGGTTTGGCCTCCCAAAATGCTGGGATTACGGGCGTGAGTCATCCTGCCTGGCCCCTCTTTATCTACTTGTAATCTGGAAGTCCCCACTTCGAGTTGTCCTGCCTTACCAAACCAAATCAGTTACATCTTACACATATTGATATCTCATGTCTTCCTAAAATTTAAAAAAGCCATCTACCCCCAACCACCTTGGGCACATGTCTCAGGGCATCCTAAGGCTGTGTCATAGGTGTGTCCTTAACTTGCGCAAAATAAACTTTCTAAATGGACTGAGATCTGTCTGATATTTTACAGTTACAGGTTTTTGCCATGTTGACCAAGATGATCTGATCCTGAAGTTCTTTTTTTTTCTCCCTGTGGTGTCTCAATCAAGTTTTAAATATACCAATCCAAAGGTTCCCATCCTGTATCTCAGGGTCTGGTCCCTCTTTTCTAAGATCAAGACCTTAATCTTGGCCAGGCAGGGGTGGCTCATGCCTATAGTCCCAACACTTTGGTGGGCCAAGACAAGCTTCTTGAGCCCAGGGATTCAAGACCAGACTGGGCAACATGGCGAAACTCCATCTCTACTAAAAATTGAAAACAAAACACTAGCCTGGTGTGGTGGTGTGTGCCTGTAGTCCCAGCTACTCTGGAGAATCACCTGAGCCCCAGAGGCAGAGATTAAAATGAGTCACTGCACTCCAGCCTAGGTGTCTTTAAAAACTAAACAAAACAAACCAAAACAAAACAACAGCACACCACCAGGGCTGAAAATTCAAGTTTCTCTGGCGTAATCAGGACTAAGCAGGACTGTCTTGGGTCTATGGCTACAGGCTGTCTCTTTACAGGCTGCCCAGGAAGCCCTCTGGCTTTCAAGTTTAGCCTTAATTGCTTATTGCCCCCAGCCTTTTTTTTGTTGTTATTATTTTTCCAAAGGGTCTATTATTCCCAGCCACGGCCACTTAGTTCCATTGTCTCCCCCACAAGCTGGTGCAGTTGCTCCCATTGGTAAGCCAAATCCACCTTGAGCCAGATTTGTATTCCACTCACAACTTGTGATGAGGTCATCAGTGCCAGCTTACCTGAGGGAAACCAAACTCCAAACTCACATGTCTACTTTCTCAGACCACTCCTGCCACCAACTGCAGCAGATCAGGTTCCCTGAGACTGAGATTTGTCAGCAGAGTTTACTGAGGAGTGACCTTGGAGATCAAAAGAACTGAACCTGGGGAAGCTGAAATGTGATACGTTGCAAAAAATGCCTCAGCCAATGCCACCTGACGAAGGGGGTCAGGTTGGCACAGATATACACAAGCTAGAATTACAGTCATGCGGGGGTATGTTCTGAAAAATGCATCATTAGGCGATTTCATTGTTATGCAAACCTCACAGACCCCTGAGCTGAGGACTAGTACCTGTCTGTAGTCTATTAGGAACCAGGCGACATAGCAAGACGTGAGCAGCAGGTGGGTAAGCATTACCACCTGAGCTCTGCCTTCTGCCAGATCAGCAGCAGCATTAGATTATCAAAGGAGCATGAACCCTACAAGGAATCTAGGTTGCAAGCTCCTCATTAGAATCTAATGCCTGATGATCTGAGGTGGAACAGTTTCATCCCAAAACCATCCCCCCGACCCCATCCCATGGAAAAATTGTCTTCCATGAAACAATCCCTGGTGCCAAAAAGGTTGGGGACTGCTGTCATATCGTGAACTTACATGAACCTAGATGGTACAGTCTACTATACTCCTAGGCTGTATGGTCTAGCCTACAGCTCCTAGGCTACAAACCTGTACAGCATGCTACTGTACTGAACACTGTAGGCAACTGTAACACAATGGTAAGTATTTGTGTATCTAAATATAGGTAAAAATACAGTATAAAAGATTTTTTTTTAAAAATATGGAACGCTTCATGAACTTTTGTGTCATCCTTGCGCAGGGGCCATACTAATCTTCTCTATGTCGTTCCAATTTTAGTATATGTGCTGCTGAAGTGAGCACAGTATAAAAGATTTTTTAAATGGTACTTATATAGGGCACTTACCATAAACGGAGCTTGCAGGAGCGGAAGTTGCTCTGGGTGAGTCAGTGAGTGGAGAGTGAATGTGAAGCTCTAGTGCATTACTGTACACTATGTAGACTTCATAAACACTATACACTTAGGACACGCTACATTTATTTTTAAAGATTTTCTTTTTTCAGTAATAAATTAACCTCAGTGTACTTTAACATTTTTTACTTTATACATTTTTAAATTTTTTAAACTTTTGAACTCTTTTATAACATTTAGCTTAAGACAAAACACACTGTATAGCTGAACAAGAATATTTTTTCTTTTTATCTTGATTCCATAACCTTTTCTCTATTATTAAGATATTTAACTTTTAAAAAAACTTTTTAAACTTTCTTGTTTAAAGCTAAGACAAACACACACATTAGCCTAGGCCTACACAGGGTAAAGAGCATTAGTATTACTGTCATTCACTTCCATATCTTATCCCTCTGGAAGGTCTTCAGAGGCAATGAACACATATGGAGCTGTCACTTCCTATGATAACAGTACCTTCTTCTGGATACCTCCTGGAGGACCTGCCTGGGGCTGTTTTACAATTAACTATTTTTTTCATAAGTAGGAATACACTCTAAAATAATGACAAAAAGCATATATAGTATTGTAAATATATAAACCAGTAACAGTCATTTGTTATCAAGTACTATGTATTACACGTAATTGTATATACATAGTACTGTACTTATACACACCTGGCACTATGTATATACATAGTATGTGCCAGGTGTGTAAAAGTACAATACTATGTATATACAATTATACATAGTATAGTGTAGTAGGCTATGCCATCTAGGTTTGTGCAAGTTGACTGTATGACATAGCTATACACTATATACAGAGTACAATACTTTTATATACCAGGCAGTGCAGCAGGTTTATGCCAACATCACAGTAAAAATGTAACGTGCCTGGGCATAGTGGCTCATGCTTGTAATCTCAGTACTTTGGGAGGCTGAGGCAGGTGGATCACCTGAGGTCAGGAGTTCAAGACCAGCCTGGCCAACATGGTGAAACCCTATCTCTACTAAAAACACAAAAATGAGCCGGGCATGGTGATGGGCGCCTACAATCCTGGCTACTCAGAAGGCTGAGGCAGGAGAATCCCTCGAAGCTAGGAGCAGGAGGTTGCAGTGAGCTGGGATCGGGCCACTGCACTCCAGCCTGGGTGACAAGAGTGAAACTCTGTCTTGGGGAAAAAGTAAAGCGTTGTGCTATAATAACAGGACAGCTACGATTATCACTAGGAGACAGGAATTTTTCAGATCCATTACAATCTTATGAGATTGCCATTGTATATGCAGTC